GTTTGTGTCTGGTGTGTGTCTAAGTGTATTGCATCTTATTTTTTATGTTTTGAGCTGGGTTTGGGAAGGGAACAGAAATTAGCTATTGTAAGAAGTTCATTTATTGTGATGGGCATTAAGATAAATGTGAAATTGAAGTGTGGGCACGTGTTTTGATTCATGTTGTACATTGATACATGTGATGTGTTTTGTGTTGTTTGTCATTGTGTTAGGCATTGGTGGGTATTGAGCATGGATGTGTGTTGGGGCTATGGAAGTGTGTTTTTAGTGGAGGATAGGAGTATGTGTTTTGGTGTTGTTGCATCTAGATTATAGTGAGTGGCTTGCCAGATGTATATATTCAGCTATGAAAATATGGAGTTAGTGTGATGAAGGGTTCTGTATGGGTTGGGGAGGTCCTGCGAGTTGGGATAAATGAAGTAGGTTTTTGTTTTTGTTTTTTTTTTCTTAATTGTTCCATGATATTTATAATGTAATATATGCTGGTGTTCTGCTAGATGCTGAAGATAAAATGGTTCTTGCTGTCCTGTAACTTATAGTCTAATTGGAGGTAGGTAGGAAGGGTGAGGAATAGAGAGAGTGCTCAGGGCCTGAATAAAAATGTGTGTGTGTATTTTGCAAGGTTGTATCTTCAGTGGGGAGGGTATGTATGTATTTGTGAGTGTGTTGGGAAAATGTACATGTGCTGGAAGAAAGTGTGTAGACAAACTGGGTGTGGATAGTTTGGGATGTGGGAGTGTTTGGGTGTCACTATGTGGTGGGGATGTGTTATAGGTGTGGGAAATGGTGTATGTAAGGGTTATGATAGCGGTGTGTGAATGGGGCATTTCAAGTGAGGATGCATGCAAGGGCATGTGCACAATAATAAACATGAGGGTAGAAGGTATGTGAGGGGTTGTAGGGTGGGGGCTTCTATGATGTGAGCTGGGGGCATTTCTGGGGAACAGCAGTGTTTGAGGACTGCTGGATCTGTGCCAACCATCTCCTGTGACCTGAGGATGTGCCAGTCATGTCCTGGTACAACTTGTCCTGGTATCTTCACTCCTCCAGTGGTAGCACTGGCTCCTAGGGTGGGTATGGCTGAGAAGGACCTGTACACAGGGTATCCTGAGCAAAAGATGGGGCCGCAGGATGCAGGAGGGGGCCTGTTGGGCTGGGGGGCTCCATATCTAGCTACTGTCTCTTCTTTCTGCTGACCTGTTTAAAAGCCCAGAGGGCTCAACTTCCTCTGTGAATCAAAGCAAAAGTCTCTGCTGGCAGGAGGACTGGTCCTGATGGAGGAGAGAACGGAAGGTGTTTGCTCAAAGAGTGACTTGGGACTCACATTTTCTACATCATGATCCCCACCCCTAGCCTCTGTCATGCACAGCAATGCATTCATGTACACATACATGTACATAGCATCCCTTGGGCTGCTCCTTCCCTGACCAAGTGAATTCCTGGGTGTTAAGTTTCCCCAGAGAGGTCTGGGTGGCAGACTCTACCTGTGATATGTGAAGTTAGGGGATGAGGTGGCAGGTGAATGGGGGAGATGGACCCTAGAGCTGGCTGGGGCTGGGCTTACCAGCTCCACCTCCTACAGGCTCTGAAGCGGAAGCCAGATTTGTTCCTGTGTGAACGACTGGATGTCAAAGCTGTGTTCCAGTGTGGTAAGTGGGACCAGGTGGACAAGTGGGCCTAGGGCTCCCCTGGGAGGCTCCTTCGGCTCCATCGGCTCCATCTGATCTGCCTCTACCTCTCCCACAGCTGTGCTGGCCCTCAAGTTTCCTGAGGCACCTACTGTCAAGGCCTCCTGTGGCTTCTTCGTGAGTCTCATGCAGACCCATATCCCCCTGCCCTGCCCCTCCTAGAACTTCAGAGGGTCGGGTGTAGTGTCCAGGTGTCATCCTTAGGGAGGGGTGGGAAGGAGCTGGGGCTGACAGGCATCTCCATCCTCTACAGACAGAGCTATTGCCTCGGTGTGGGGAAGTAGAATCCGTGGGAAAGGTGGTACAGGAGGATGGTCGGATGCTGCTCATAGCAGTGCTGGAGGTGAGATGGAGCAAGTGGGTGTTGGTAGGGTGGGGAGGCCCTCACTGCTGCAGCAGCTGGCATTCTGGGATTTCCTCAATTAAATGGCAAGATGTTAGGGTTGCTCTGAAGGTCACCTGACACTCAGAAAACACTGATAACTTGTATAACTTGGCTGCAGAATTGTCCTAGAGAGCCTGGGGCATGGTTAGGCCTCCTTGCCGCTGAAGGGGCAAGGCCTTGGTGTACTAAGAGGTACTCTCCCTCAGGCTATTGGGGGCCAGGCCTCCCGCAGCCTCATGGACTGCTTTGCCGACATCCTCTTCGCCCTGAACAAACACTGCTTCAGTCTCCTGAGCATGTGGATCAAGGAGGCATTACAACCACCTGGTTTTCCCTCTGCCCGCCTCAGCCCTGAACAGAAGGACACCTTCAGTCAGCAGATCCTTCGGTGAGCAGGGCTGGGCTGGATCTGAGCTCTGGTAGGGAGGGAGGTGAAAGTGTTGGTGGATGATGCTAATAACTTGTTTTTCCTTCCTTCAGTGAGCGAATGAACAAGAGGCGGGTGAAGGAGATGGTGAAGGAGTTCACACTTCTGTGTCGGGGGCTACATGGCACAGATTATACAGCTGACTACTGAGGGGCACCCCTGTCCCATGTCCACTGTCCTCATCCTTTCCTATCCCCAAAGAGTAAACCTGGACCCTCACTACTGCCTCTGCTTCCTTTCTGCTGCTACCATCCCCTAACTGAAAGCCTGGGTCCAGAAGCCTGGGGAAAAGATGGGAGGATATGGGGCTGGTGAGATGGCTCAGTGGTCTAAAGCACCTACTTAGAACAAGCTTAGCAAAAACAAAGGGACTGGGCTGGTGAGATGGCTCAGTGGTCTAAAGCACCTACTTAGAACAAGCTAAGCTAAGCAAAAGCACAGTGACGACAGTTCAATCCCCAGCACCACATGCCAGCCAGCCGCGCCCCCTGGTGGGCTGAGCTGGCCACACACACACACACACACACACACACACACACAAAATTTTTTTAAAAAAGCCTTCTTAAAAAAAAGAAAAGAAAAGAAAGAAAAAGAAAGATGGGAGGATACTTGGACCTAGGCCTTGATCAAGAATGGTGGGGATACCCTTTACATCCTGGTGTGGGAGAGGAACTGCTGTAGCTTAGCAGCCTACGCTGGAGCCATTTAGAATTTCCCCATTGCCCTTGGAGTGGGAGGAGGGATAGGTGGCTGCAGTGTTAGTAATCCCCTGCCCCTGTTAAATTAGTCTTAGTGTGCATACATATTTACATCTAGTCAACAATATCAGGTATTAGTCCCTAGCTCTGTCCTAAACAGGCTGTCTAGTTCAAAACTGCTGTGCCAAACTGTAAGTGGAGAGAGGCTACAAGGAGGAAATTTTGCTTTTGATAAGACTAGGAGGCATCCTAAACACGGGATGGGTGTTGGGCTGGATCCATTTGGGAGGGAAGAAATGGAATAGGACTTCATGTTCCAGCATGGGTGTCTAATGTAGGGTTTTAAAGCACCCATACATGCCCATGGTTGAGGAAAGCTATAGAAAGTACCTGTGGGGCTGGTGAGATGGCTCAGTGGTCTAAAGCACCTACTTAGAACAAGTTTAGCAAAGCACAGGGACCGCAGTTCAATCCCCCAGCACCACATGCCAGCCAGCCCTGCCCCCTGGTGGGCTGAGCTGGCCACACACACAAACACACACACACACACACACACACACATAAATAAAAAAAACGATTTTAAAAAGAAAGTACCTGTGGGTGGGAGGTGGGGGATAAGAGGGAAGGCATTGGCACCCCACAGAAGAGGAAGGCAAGCCCTTGTTCCTGTATACCTATTGCCCTTTCTAGGGACCTCCCTCAAAAACTAACCAAGCTCAATTAGGACCAGGGACAGCTCTGGGCCTGCTCTTGTTTTCCTTTAGCAGCGCTGTTTTCTTCCTCTTTAACCATAATTTCACTCAGAGTGCCTGTTAGAGACCCTATTCTGAGTAATACTCCGTAATCTGAAGGACAAGACTGAGCTCTCCCCACTCCCGTCCATGAGCTTTTCCATTCTTCCTCACTCAGCCTTCCATAGCAGCTGACATCAGTCCCTGTCACCCACACCCCATGAAAGCCACACTGTCCCTTCTAGTCCTCCTCAGTCCCAGTCTCACTTTACTCATCATTTCTCATTCTGGCATATTTGGAGATGTTTCACATATTTTAGTTCTTTTTTCCTGCCACATGGTGTCTGAGTGTCTTCCTCCTCCTAGCCCTCCCCACAACAAATGTAGCATCTATAAGGTAGGAGTTTGAGGGCTTCTTAGTTTTTTTGTATGTTTGTGTCACCACTGTCTTATCAGACAGCTAGTCTCTTCGTACCTGTTTGTGTTAAAATGAGACAATTATTAAAAAGACTAACGTGGCTCCTGATAAATAGTAAATGTTCAGTGTTCATCAGCGGATTCTGACTTCTGAAAAGACAAAGACAAATGGGACGTGTAAAGAACAGCTTTGTAAAGTTTAATAAGTTAATTTGAGCTTTGCGACAATCCAATTAAATAAAGCATACTATGATGAAAAACTCCCATTCTGCAGATAAGGAAATGACATCCATTTCTGAGCTACAGTACACTGTAGCAAGCGGCCAAACACGATATTAAAATCAAGACAGTGCGCACTGAGTTTTAAATTATCCAATACATAAGAAATGTTTAGTGACGGGCGGATAGGAGTTACTCACATTGGAGTAGAGTGTCGGCTCCTGAGGGGAGACAGCGGCAGGCTGAATAAGAGACCCCGAGGGAGCAGAGACCAGAAGACCTACAACTCCCATAGGGCTCAGCGCCCTTCTTTACGCAACTTCCGGATGGCCCCGCTTGGTTTTCTGTGGGTCGCGGAGGCGGGGATTGGAGCGCAGCAGCGGTGCTGGTTTAGGATTGGTAGAGCTGCAATCAGTAACGCCTGAGACCCGGAAGTAATATCCGCGGAGGCTAGGCCCAGTGCAGTGCTCGTACCAGAGTTCGGAAGCTTTGGCGCGAACCGGGTGGCTCGCCGGCAGCCCCACAAAACGATTCTGAGCCCTTGGAGTGCTGCTTCTGAGGCCGCGGGCCCCTCAACTGGACGAGGGAGCCCCTGCTGCACCCCTGCTCCCAAGCCTTGACTCATGGAGTCTACGTTCTGCAGCCCGGCGGAGGCAGTCCTGCAGCGGGAGACAGGCATCCCGGAGCAGCTCACTCCACTCGCTGACCTCGACCGAGTGTACGAGCTGGAGCGAGTCGTTGGATTTGTCCGTGACCTAGAGTGTCAGCGGGTGAGGCCGGATGTAGGGAGTGGTAATTCACTTCTAGAGATGGTGCTCCCAGAAGATAGGAATCTTAGAGAATTTCCTGAACACGGGAAAGTGGGGAAATCGGAGTCTGTCCGCAGAGCGTGGACCACCTGCCACTCATTCCGTAGGACAGAGTGCTCTCCCCGGCTCAGAGACCTTGAGGTTGAGTGGAGGCTCCCGAAAAATTTACTGTAAAGAGGCCCTCGGTGGGAGTAGGGGGCGTGAAGCTCCTCCTGACTCCATGATTTATGTTTACAGGTGGCCTTGCAGTTCTCTGACCGCCTATTAGGAGATGCAGGGGCCATGGCTGCACGACTGGAGGAGACTACAGGGTCGAAGATGTTTATTTTAGGGGACACGGCTTATGGCAGGTGTGACCTCGGGTTTAAGTGGCCTAGGCCTGGGGATCCAGGCCTCATGGGGTTTCCATGCTGTAACAATTTCTGCCTCTACTCTTTGTGTTCTTCATGATGATGGTAACACCTCTCATGGTGCTAGCACCCCTTAGAGATAGATCTTTCACATCACCGTTTTCTTGTGTGGATAGATTTCCTTCCTATTGACGACAGCAATTTACCTCCGGGGGGAACCCCTGTAATTGATGATATTTCTTCTGCAGCTGCTGTGTGGATGTGCTGGGTGCTGAGCAAGCTGGAGCTGAGGCCCTTGTTCACTTTGGCACTGCCTGTTTAAGTCCCCCGGCCCGCCTGCTGCCCATCACCTTCATCCTTGGCCAACGTTGTGTGGCCTTGGAGCTCTGTGCCAAGGCCTTTGAAGTGCAGAACCCAGACCCGACGGCACCTGTGGTGCTGCTGGGTGAACCAGCCTGTGCCCATGCCCTGGGTAAGGGGTTATGCCTGTGTAAGAAGGAAGGGTGGGCTTATGGCTCTATGGCTCTATTTCCCCATTTTATTTATTTTTGTCTTTTGAGACAGGGTATTGCTATGCAGTTCAGGCTGGCCTTGAGCTCACTTTGTAGCCCAGGGTGGTCTCGAACTTGCAACAGTCCTCCTGCCTCAGCCTCTTGAGTGCTGGGATTACAGGTGTGTGTCACCACACCCAGCTATTTCCCATTTTAGTATACTCCCACAGAGCTCTTGGCCCAGGTCTTTGCTTTTGGGTTACATTTAGTTTCCTGGGGATGAGGGACCACCTATTTTGCCAGACACCAACCCTGACACCAACTTTTTCTCTTCTAGAGGCCTTGGCCACTCGCCTGCGCCCTAAGTACCAGGACCTGCTTGTCTCCAGCCCAGCTCTTCCCAAGCTATCAGGGTCCCCCAGTCCAGAGACCAAGCTCCTGGAGCGTTTTGGGCGTTACTTCCCCCTAGCCCCAGGGAGATGTCTGGAAGAATATGGTGCCTTTTATGTGGGGAGCTCTTCTAAGTCTAGTTCTGACTCTGACCTTGACCCAGACCTGAGCAGGCTGCTCTTGGGGTGGGCACCAGGAAAGCCTTTTTTCTCCTGCTGTCCAGACACAGGACAGACTCAGGATGAGGGTGTTCGGGCTGGGCGGCTAAGGGCACGAAGATGGTATTTGGTAGAGAGGGCCAGAGATGCCCATGTGGTAGGGCTATTGGTGGGCACATTGGGTGTGGCCCGACACTGTGAGGCACTGGCACACTTACGGAAGCTATCTCAGGCTGCTGGCAAACGTAGCTATGTGTTGGCTGTGGGACAACCAACCCCTGCGAAGCTTGCCAACTTTCCTGAGATGGATGTCTTTGTGTTATTGGCCTGTCCCCTGGGTGCTCTAGCCCCAAAGCCTTCTGGTAGCTTCTTCCGGCCTGTACTGACACCATGTGAGTTAGAGGCTGCCTGCAACCCTGCCTGGCCACCTCCAGGCCTGGCTCCCTACCTTACACATTATGCGGACTTGTTGCCTGGTGAGTGGTAGAGGATTGCCTTAGCCTCAAACTTGGGACAGCAGGAAACTTGGAGCTGGGGGACCAGTGTGTATTTCCTTCCTCCCTTCCAGGATCCCCCTTCCATGTGCCCCTCCCACTGCCTGAGTCAGAGCTGTGGGATGCCCCAGATGTGTCCCTCATTTCTGGAGAGCTCCGACCTCCACTTGGCTGGAGGCCTCTGAATGATCCTGGATGCTCTGCACTGACCCCGCGGCCCCAGATGGAACTTGTTGAGAGCAGCCCTGCAGGTAAATGTGGAAGTCTGCTGAAATTTTTAGATCTAGCCTAAACGCCCTTTGCCTGAACTTTCTCCCTTCCTCTACAGCCTCATTCCTTAGTTCCCGGAGCTGGAAGGGACTGGAGCCCCGTCTGGGTCAGACACTGGTGACAGAAGCTGTGAGTGGAAGACGAGGGATTGCTATTGCATATGAAGATGAGGGGAGCAGCTGATACAGAAGAAAGCCAAAGACACGGATTTAGAAGTCATCACTAGAAACTTTAATGCTCCCAGGATAGACTTATCATCCTATCATGACCTTTGAAAGAGAGGGCAAGCCAGGCAAGCCACCGAAGATCACATCATGCCTGTCTTCTGGCACTGGCACCAGGCCCACCACATACTGGCCTAGTAAATGTCTATTGCTTGACTGATGGAGGAAAGGGTTTAGGGACTTTCTTGAGACCTTCTAGGTCCATCTGTCCTTGGAGAAGCCCAAGACCAGTGGCCAGTCCTAGTTCTTAATCTGCATTTGAGGGTTTGCTCTTATCAAAGGGCAGGTGCTAGATCATCCAGACCAGGTTTCTCAATGTCAACACTGCTGCCATTTTGGATCAGATAATTCTTTGTTGTGGAGACTGACCTGTGTAAGGCAGGATGTTTAGCAGTAACCCTGGACTCTGCCCACCAGACATCAGAAGTACCCTCCCCTAGTTATGATAACCAAAAATGTTTTTAGACATTGGCAAATGTCCCTTGTAGGGGCATAACTGCTCCTAGTTGAAAACCACTGATCTAGACCTACACTGCCCAGGACAGTAGCCACCAGACATATATTTAAATTTAAATTAATGGACAGGGATATAGCTCAGCAGCTATGGCAAATGTGAGGTCCTGAGTTTGAGTCATAATACCAAAATAATAATGATATTTATATTAAAAGCTCAGTTTCTCAGTCACACTGATTTTAAGTAGTTGTATAGATGCATGGGAACGCAGCTACAGGACATTTTGAGCAGTGCAAGCAGTTCTGTTGGATGCTGCTGGCCAGATTTGTTTCTCAAGATACAGAAATTCAAATAAACCAAATACCTTTTCTCCTTCTGTTTCTTTTTATTCATGAAACACTCAGACATGAATTGTATTTAAGCAGATTCCTGTCCTGACAGTCACGTTGGGTAGAGACAGTTAAATATACAGTAAACAGTGAAACAGTGCTGTCTCTGAAGAGAGAAGGCCCCATGGCAGCTGGATCCCATATAGACAGCTGATGAGAGGTTACAGTATTAAGCAGAATGGCCAAGAAGTCCTTTGAAGAAGGCAAGCAAAGACAGGAGAGAAATTACTAGAGCTAGAGAGCAGAGGAAACAAAAGCGGGAGTGTGGCTAGTATGTTCAAGTAATAGTAAAGAGGACAGTACACCCAGAGGGAAGAGTGGAGGGTTCGCTCCCGCCATGGGAAATATGGGATGTGGGGATTTGCACGGTACAGGGTCATAGAATTTTTTTTTTTTTTTTTTTTT